TTAACAAGTGGAAAAATAGCCTGGTGTGCCTCTTTGAGTACAAGCTGCTCAATGTTAGCAAGCCTAAGGCACTACTAAAAATCACAAGGTCAGTTCCACCCAAACAGGGTTTTCATATATTGTCATATTTCTTCGGTTGAAAATAGAATCTTTCTAGTGATTTAAAAAATTTTTTATGGTCTGATTTTAATGCTTGGTGAAGCATCAGCACACTTGGTGGGGAGTGGGAACGTCAGGGCTGCTCTGGCAAGGTAACTGGAAGTGTTCAGGTGTGACGTGGGTCTGGCAGGACAGGCCAGCTGTCTCATTCGCTTGCTTGATGGGCTTGATAGAAAATGAAAGAATCCAGACTTGTAAGATGAGCATCCAAACCCAAAAAGAATCCATTGGAGCGATTTTCCCGTTTCTTGTGATTATTTAGGACTGATGTCTAGGCCACACAAGACACTAATCATATTGGAATTCTAATCCTGAAGTCATCAGAGGGAGAGCTGGATATATTTTGAGAACAGGCGATTAACCAATCTCGTACAAACAAGGGGCATGACGCTTATTCCAGGTAGGAAAGCACTGGTTTCCGCTCGTGCTTGGTGTGATTCCTTTCATAATAGGTGGCTGTTGGGCTGGGGTTCTCCGCACAGATTTCATCAGCATCTCAAAGTACCTCTGAAGCTGAAGCGTCAGCTTGTTGAGATGACAAGCTGTCAAGCCGGAAGCTCCGGACAGCAGAGCTTACTGAGTTTATTCTTAACCTTCTGTTTTGGCTATATATTATCTGTCTGTGCTTAAGTAACAGGGGTTGACCTTTAGACCTTCATGGAAAAAAAAGAAAAAAGAAAAAAGAAATCGCAGACAGAGTGAGCCTTTCCAAATAGTGGCTGTGTGATGAAAATCTAAATGAAAAACCTGCCATCAACTCGTGGGCATTGAAAGATATCGGATATAAGAAAACTTGTTGACTTTGGGGGTACAGATGGCTTTGTAAAAAGCTGTTCCTTGAAACATAGTTGTGTTATTTGCTGAAGGTTGATTCTGTAAATTACTATAATGCCAGAGAGATGGGTAGAATTTCTAGGAAAAACAGGCCTTCTCTCTCAGGAGACTTAGAATATGGTACTTAATGATCTTCGTTCTTTCCCAGAGAGGGATGAGTATTTGTCTCGTCTCATAGTTTTGTGGGATTTCTATACTTCTCTAGCTAACAATTTTGTGTACTGCGTCTTTCAAAAATTTTCTAACTTCAATTAAGGAAAAAGTGCTCTCTTTACTTAATGTTTTATAAGCACATTACAATAATAAGATGTTGCTACTGTAAGATATTCTTTGTTTATACTTTCTTTTCTTTTTGGTACCGGGGATCAAACTCAGGACCTTGAGCTTGTGAGGCAGCTGGTAGAACCACTAAGCTAAATCCAGGCCCTTAGTTATACTTTTGTTATGGAACTGATAAAGATTCTGTCTGTTATCTGCTTTCCCTGGCTTTGAGATCATTCTATGGTGATCCTTTTATATCATCACGATACATGCTCCTTTGCAGATTTTGTGTTTATGCAATTAAAATAATAAAGATATTTATTATTAATTAAAATAATTCCAATTTCATTCTCACTATGCATCCTCAAGCTGGAACATAAAGGAGGTCTTTACAGAATGGCATCATCACCTGAGCACTTGCCTTGGACGTGAACTTGCCTTACAAGGAACCAAGGACGTTTTAATTAGGGACTGACCGGTGATGGATCTGGGTTTATAGTTATCGTTCCATCCGTCCATGCTGTGTTTTAGTGTAGAATGTGCTTTCACATACATTATATGATACACAGACACCCGAGAAGCAGGCACAGTCTACATTTTAAGACAAGGAAACCAAAGTTCAGAGACATTACAGGACTTGGTTTAGGCCACATCACCCGTAAGAAACTAGCCCAGAAGTCCGTCTATAGAAGCCATGAAAGATACGGCTTCTATTACTTGGAGAAACACCATAGGCAAGAACCTTTCTGTGTACACAGCAAAGCCTATAGCTACGCACAAAGCTTCTCTCCCAGTGGGAGCACGAGTGCTGCCAAGGTGGGCACGGTCTCTGCTAGAAGTAACAACAAATAGCCGTTGTAGTTCTGCATGCAAAGGGTTTCATGGTAATCAGCCATAAGCTGATCTGTTACATTTATGATAAAGTATTTGTAACCCCCACTGTCCACCGTGTTCACTATGTGTCCACTACGGCACATGGCAAATGAGTTTTTGTTGAACTGTTTTATTTTACATCATTGTACGGAGGCAGCCCATGGGGTATCAGGGCTTCAGAAGAACAAGGTTATACAGAAAAACTAGGGGCTTGAGTCCCGGCAACTATGAGGCAAAGCACTCACCCTTGGCTTCATGTGACGGCGGCAGGTACACTGAGGAGTGAATATGATACCACAAGTGGAATCCCAGGCAGGGACCAGGCCACCAGGGCTTCCTTCCTGATGGCTCACTACCTACCATTCTTGACTAACATCAAAAGAATAAGCATTTGTAGAAATAATACAGGTAAAGCGCTTTCAAATAAGGAAGTAATTGATCTAATCATCCTTATTAAGTAATACTGTTAGGTCAAGAAATATTAGACTTTCAACTGAATTAGCTTGCTAATGATTTAGAAACAATTTAGAAAAAGCATCTAGTGTGCCTAACATATTATTGCTCCAGGCAGTATTGTGGGTTTTTTGTTGTTGTTGTTGTTGTTTGTCTGCCTGTTTTCATTGCAGTGAGAGGACACTTACATTATGGATCTCCCTCATGCATTTTCAAGCTATAGTTAATGCAACAATGTATGTGTCTCTAACTTGAGGAGTCTTTTTATTTCACAAAAATACATATCCTATTTCAGCTTCCTGGGAGTGGTCATAAGCTCAGCATTTGGGAATACTTTTTCCTTTTCTCATAAGTCTGTAGCATGGAGCCCTTAAATCTTTTCAATTCTATTACTTTCCTATACCCTTTCTAAGAGTGCTTTGACTTCTGAATATCATTTAAGAAAACTTTTAAGGATTGCAGTTAGGCTCTGAATCATGCAAATATTTTCTCCTTCTGGTATATTTTCCAGGCTTACATTTACTCTCTCATTTTCACAGAACTCAGAATCGAGCACTGATCTGCCATGTGCTACTCGCCTATCAACAGTGAGGACCCTTGTGCCGAAATGAGATAAATGGATGTCGAGATACTTTGGAAATGGAAAAGCACTATGCACATTAAGATATAATTACATAAATGTAAATGCAACATTTACTTATTAGGATAGGGAAATGGGGAAGCATTTCAGAACTTTTGGACTAATGAGTCCAATTTAGAATTATAGGCCAGAGAAGCAATGTTTTCAGCATGGTAGGAAATGCATTGTTTAGATGTGTTTACATCATTATTATATCTCAGAATAAAAGCAAACAATAGCTGCAATATTTGCAATCTCCTGTATTCCAAGGCCCCCCTTTTTAATAGTGATTCAAACTGAAAGCAAATAATTAAACACCCCTTCAGTGTTACACTTTAATATGTGATCAAGCAAATT